ATGACTGAGCCGATGATCCATTTATGCTTGGTCATCCTCCGTGACATGGCAGTTAAAACTCTTTTACTCTTGTCAATGGCGTCATCTACCCCATGAAGCTGCAAATGACAAAAGGAAAAACACAAAACACTCAGATTAACAAATTCACTAATGCAGATGCCTTGTTCAGATCGTATGTCGGAACTTCTTTCTTTTTCTTTCAAAGGAGGCCTATTGGCCTGGCATGATATTAGGTCGAGACCCCAACATTATATCTGAGGTTTTTGGAGCACTGCCACTGGAGTTATGAGCCCCACTTTATTTGTAAGGTTTTGGTTCCTCAACAAGCAAGTGTAGGAACGACTCCAGCATTGGAATATGTGAATGGCATGTAAGGGAAACTCACTGAATTCAACTTCAGGGAAGCGAAAAGAAGTCTAAGCGACAACAATGAACCTTAAGTTAAGCAGAAACATGATTAAAAAGTTAAACTTACTTTTTGATGGGAATGCAGGAGAGTTTCCCGCTGTTGATGCAAATCTTGGAGAATGGAGACACCAAGCTCTTCAGTCTCCAGTATGGTTCTCCTACTCTCCGTGATTCTATCACTTGATTGATTCAATCTCTCAACAGACATTGTCATTCTCTCTCTTTGATCAGAAGAAACCTGTTTTGTTGTCCACATATATCACCAAAAAATGTTATTCTATTCTACCAAGAGAAAGAAAACTAAAGACAAACATTACATCTAACTTGTAAATGATCCATTGAGGACAAATGACATGGCCTAGTAGTTGCCTTTGTCATATATCAAGAGGAAAATTATAGGCGAAAATAAGAGAGCACCCCACATAGTTGGGGGATATTTGCATTACAGCACGTCATAAATGCATACAATTCCTCAAATCAAATTTTATACTTTGGCCCAAATGTTATCAATTAAGGAAAGCTAGAATTGAAGTTTAACAATCCATACAGAGTCCAGACTTACCGCATGCACGTCAGCCATTCCGGACTCCAACAGCTCTTCGCGAGCAGCCTGATTGGCATCAGGTGATGTAATTCTTTTGATTTCCCTTTTCAACTTATTGAGATCAGATTTATATTCCCTTAGCTTAGCAAGAAGCACCGCCTTTACACTCGGCTGCAAGCTTCTGGCTTCAAGGTCCATTTTCCGAATCTGAAAAAACAAACCACACCACTCATTCGTAAAAACAAGGAAAGTATAAGAGACCAGAAGCTCTCCAGCAAAGGAAAACGAAGTGAAAACTTTTGTTCTGCATATTACCAAAGCATCAGCATCGTCCAATCCAACTTTAATCTCAGAAAACCTCTGCTTCTTCTCTGCAAATCACATTGACCCACAGCAACAACAGCCCATTTCATAAAAAGATCACAACTAAACCAAATCGTACAAATACACGGATGCATTAAAGGTCTTGACTTTCTAACAAACACTCGATCAACAAGCAAAAAACAGAAAACCCATAAAACCCCCCAAAAGAATTCCCTATCAGCCATAATCTTCCAAGTTGATCACTGTTACTAATTGATGAAATCTCATAAATTAAGAACGTTGGGGCATAATATCGCAAAAAACCCACAATCGGAGACATGGCAGTACGGATAGTTATTAAATTAGCAGAAAATGAAACAATAGAATAATACCATGGTCAGGAAGAAGGGCGGCGGAGTTAGATTTTCGTGAGAGATTTGCTGAGAGCTCGCAGTACTGACGCTCGTAGCCTTCAAACACCTCACTCATCTCGATTGCTACGTGGCACACTATCCCCACTGGTTCAATTGAGAATTTGCGAATCGAGAAGACAACGATCTGAAGAGGATTTTGGGTTGTTTTGTTCGTT